TAATGAGATATCATCTCACACCAGCAGTAACAGCAAAGATCAAAAAAGTTGAGGACAATAATTGCTGGCGGGGATGTGGATAGACTAGGACGCTCCTGCATTGCTGGTGGGACTGCAAAATGGTCCAACCACTCTGGAAAGCAATATGGCGCTTCCTCAGAAGGTTTGGAAATAGAAATACCTGATGACCCAGCAATTCCTCTACTTGGTATTTACCCACAAGAAATATGAGCCATAACATGAGTAGATATATGCACACCAATGTTCATAGCAGCACTACTTACAATAGCAAAAAGATGGATACAGACAAAGTGCCCATCAACTGAAGAATGGATAGACTAACTGTGGTACATACACACAATGGAATATTATGCTACCTTGAAGAATAACAAGGAAGCTGCAAGCCATAGCATAACCTACATGAACCTTGAGGACATTATGTTGAGTGAAATTAGTCAGTCACAAAAGAAGAAATACTACTGCATAGGATCACTACTGTAAAAGACAAAGAAAAAGAACCCATACTAAAGAGGTTGGGGGAGGGATGGGAGAGAGAGGAATGTGGAGTACAGAGCAGGGAATAGACACAGGATAGTTTGGGTGCTGGGGCGGGTGGTGGGGGGGGAAGGCAATATACAAGAAAGGGGAAGGGAATGGGAGAACAAAGCTCATGGAAAAACAATTAGGCAGGTTTGCATGGGGTAAGTGGGACAGAGGTAAAGAATGATGTATGCACAATCTTGGAACAACAGGGCTCTGGGATACATGGATTGATTTGTGGGTAGAATGGGGAAGGGGGGGTGAATAATGTTAAGATGCTTGGCTGTCTTTTGAATCTTGGTTTCCCTTGCATACCATTATAAAATAGACACTGGAGGGGGAGAGAAAAGAATAGGCAGAAATATCACCATAGAATGCTTGTAAGTCTGTCTTCTGCCTATAACTGACTGGAATACCTAAAATAGGACTACAAGATGCCCAGTGAAGGAGGCTTCCTGTGGAACCTCTGCATTACATAAGACTATAGGTAGAATCCTGAACAGCATCCAAAATCTTCAGAGATAGGAAATTTCCACTTGAAAGGACAGGTAGACCAGCCTGGAGCAGCTAAAAGAACAGAAGATACTTCTTGAAAGGAAGACCTACAGGAAAAATACAAAACAATATAGGCAGACCGACTGATTACTACAAGAACAAGCAAAGTGCTCACCCAGGAGACATTAAGGCAAGCGGTCGGGTCCCCTCAGAACAAACCCCCTTCCAAGACTAAGACTCAATGGGAATACACGCTTTAATTGGTGACCACATTCATCACCGATAATGGGAAGTGAGGGAAAAACAGCAATGAAGCTGCGAGCTAAGCCCTACAACATTCAATAGACTCCTGTGAACCCAGGTGGAGACCTGGTCGGCCAGCAGTATGCCAAGACCTGGGGACTCTTGGGCCCAGACTCAGTGACACAGCCACAGAGGACTAGAGTGGAGAGTGAAGCGTCCAGCTGATAAGAAGAGAGGGCATATGCACAAGAACACCCACACTTGCAGATAATACCCACTTGACCTGGCGTCAATGACTACATGATCAGAGCTCAACTAGAAGAAGAGGAAAAAAAGAGTAATCTGATAATTTGATGAACTTGACCTACACCTATGGAATGCAATAGCTCAAAAGAGGAAACAAATCTTTACAGCAAGGATCATTCCCACCCTTCCATACACAGAGTAGACAGGGATGGGCAACTTGGACACTGGCTATCCAAAGTGGGGAGGCTACAAAGACAAGAAGTGACTGGCTTACAAGCTTTCAAGAAGGAACCTAGATCCAGAGGGCGTGGAGGAAGGTAGAATCTCCACTGAGTAGTATCCAATTTGTCTAGGCAGGGCCGATGAAAGGAAATGTGGATAGGTCTCTTGTGATACAATAGTGAATAATTGTTATCAGGACTGATTGTGAGGGTTGGAAATGTAAAGGCAGACGTTTTGTAGCAAGGAGGGGAGTGATTAACTTTGCAGTCTAGGAGTGGAGGTCCTTGGGACCATCAAGGGAGAAGAGCAGAAAGTGGGACCCTACCCAGAGAAGCAGTGGACATCAGAGATGATGATGTGGAGAGATGGAGCAGCTGGGGACTTTAGACCCAGAGAGGGAGAGGAGCTGTGTGCTGATGACCGCAGGGGGGGGAGGCAGATTGTAACCATGGCAATGAAATGATATACAATAGGATGAATGTAAAGCTAATGATGTTCTCCTATGTAAAATATCACATAATTTATACAATAAAACATTTTAAAAATAAAATATACAAAGAAAAATAACAACAATCAATTCATACCTATTGATAATTACACAGAATGTAAATGGATTAAATGCAGTCAAGAGACAGAGAGAGCAGAATGGACATGCAATGGAGCAGATGCTTAAAGATGCTATGTATAAGAGACACATCAAAAATATGGAGATAGCCTAAAAGTCCATCAAAAGAAGAATGGTTGAACAAACTTTGGTACATACACACAATTAAATATTATAAAACGTTGAAGAATAACAACTAATCTGTGAAATACCTCACAATATGGATGAAACTGGAGGACATTATACTGAGTGAGAATAGTCAATCACAAAATGACAAATACTGTATGAGATCAATGTTGGGAAAAGTTAAAAAAGGTTTTCTTGCTAAAAGAAACAATCTAGGAGAGAAAATTATTCATGGACTACAAGGTAACAGGGCAGGAGGTTAGCAAGAAAGATGAAGGTAAGGGAAGACACAATGAGGAATGACAAAGAGTTACAGTGAATAGAGGTAAATACTGTTAACTGTTGGTACATGGCAGGGATCACAGTCATTGTAATGAAGCCAAGTATATGATTTGATGAATTTAAAACTGATGATCTGTTCTGTAAACCTTCACTTGATTCATAATAAAAAGTTTTAAAAAAAAAAGTTTTGTTTGGAATAAAACTGTGCATGTACGAACTGGAAACCCTAATAGCAATACTTTTTAACTTAACCCTTGTTAAAATTGATTTTTTTTTTAGATCAGTATTTTCTCTTTAATTGGTTCCTTTTCCTTGAGCACCATTAATAACAAGTTTCCGGTGCTTAACTAAAATCTTTACAGAAACAGATCACCAGCTCTTTCTTCCACAGTGCCACAGAGTGTGTTCGAACACCAACTTTTTGGTTGGTAGAGGAGTATGAATCATTTGCAGCACCCAAGGACCTAGAAAGGTTTCTTCTTAGGAGGCAGAATTTAAGTTGAACCAACAAGACTAAGTATGTGTACAGATGACAGAGGGAAAGGAAAAGGAAGACAAAAGGGTAGATAATGATGGGGAAGATTTTTAAGAGTACCTAAGGCAATATTTTATTTACAAGTGTGGATAAAGAGTAGGGCACATGCAGAATTACCAGCAGCTAATCTTGTTAGACTTGGTGTGGTGTTGTGAGACAATGCACTAGACCACAAGGTCGGTTTGAACTGCAAGGTCAGCAGTTCAAATTCACCAGCCGCTCCTTGGAAACCCTATATAGGGTTGCTATGAGTCGGAACCGACTCAAAGGCACTCAACAATAACAACAATCTTGTTATGGTAGGAGCCCTTGCAGCACAGTGGTTAAGCACTCAATTGGCTGTTAGAACCCACCAGTCGCTCTGCAGGAGAAAGATGAGGCAGTATGCTTTCATATATTGATAGCTGGGACACCCGACAGGGCAACTCGACTCTGTCCAGTATGATTTGCTATGAGTTGGATGAACTCAACAGCAGTGGTTCTGGTTTTGGATTAATCTAGTAGGGGTTAGATTACAGTAGGCATTTCATTAAAATTAAAAAATCAAGTCCACTGATGTTGAATTGATTCCAATTCCTAACAACCCTACAGTACAGAGCAGATCTGCCCTATAGGATTGCCAAACCTGTAAATTTTTACAGAAGCTGACTACTGCATCTGACTACCACAGAGTGCCTGGTGGTTTGAACCGCCAGTCTCAAGGCAGCCAGGTGCTTTAACCACTGTACTACCAGGGCTCCTTACTGGTTTTTTGAATTCAGAGTTCCCAAAGTAATCTTTCTTCTAAATTTAAAAGGCTAAATTTTACCAAGCTTTTTTTTTTTTTTTTTTTAGAGATTCTAAATCCCGAACAGATTCTAAATCCCTCATAAACTAACAAACCAGAACTTTTCCAAGAGGAGACAAGCCCACTGAACTTTTCAGAGGAAGCTGAAAACAGGTATTGCTCTTATAGGAAATCCTCACAAATGGGTAAAGCACTACATCTTACTTCTCCATTTTTTTCTATGGTTTCCCAAATTCTTTACAATGATGTATAATTTTTACAGAACTAGCAACAATGTTTTAAGAACCTGTAAGGTGTGTTGTTGTTAAGTGCCACTGAGTCAATTCTGACTCATAGCAAAACTGCACAGGGTTTCCGAAGAGCAGCTGGAGGGCTTGAACCACTGATCTTGTAGTTATCAGTGCAGTGCTTATCCTATAGCATCATACCAGGAGTTCATTGGTAAGGTAGATATCTTATATTTATGATGTTTAAGGTCTCTGCCTCCAAAAACAAGAAATAATCAGTAGCAAACTTTCTGAAAAAATCTTTTGGCCTCCTATAAACCTGTCCATAATAATTTCAGGTCTGCTTAGTTCAACATCCTCATTCTCTCAGAGAAAAGATTCAAGGTTGAAGGTTTAGTTACTGTTAGCTTTAAATGGAGATAAGCTAGGCAAAAGTATGTTTGGGTTTGTTTATTTAGCTTTATGTGAGTGGAAGGGGGAGAGGTTACAGCTTTGAGATCTTAAAAGCCAAGTCAAAGCTTTTAAAATTAATGTGATAAAAACTAGTAAACATCTAATCTCTTATTAATATACTATTTAATTGGATGACTATTCAAAGGACTAAAAATTAAATCAGCTCCTGTACTATAAAAAAGGTTTACAAATATTTTATTGTTATCTTAATGATAGGCCAGATATTCAGGTAGAGCTTACCTTGGTACAAAAAGATTTTGCAGGTGTTTTAGTATATTTTGGACATAAAGATTAGGCTCTTTAATAACTGGCAATGGAATAGAATCTTTCGGCAACACTAAAGCCATAATCCAATCTGTATATACATCAACACAATATTTTACAGTCTCTCCATCCAATGGAAGGGTCAGTCCATAGCAAATTACTTCCATGGTCCATTTTACCTAAAGAAAGAAAGAGATACAGAATTATTATACATTTCTTTATATGTCGGGAGCCAGAACTGGTGCCATCTAATGGTGAAGGTTGAGATGGCCCTCATGCTCTTATGATTGGCCTGAAGACAAGTTTCACCTGGTTAAGGTGATGTCAGCGATCGAGACTTATTGTTAATTGTAACTAGGACAATCCTGGGAAAAGGGAACTAAAATTGAGATAAAATCGCGTGATTCTGTGTTGCTATAACAATGCTTATACTTATGTAATCAGATCCTGGTTGGTATCCTGGTGGGTAATCATATCCTTGTTACTATAGAAAACATTGTAACTAGGCAGAATAACTATGACCTAATGCTAAAAGTCCTATATAAACCACATTGCTACAATAAACTATGTCACTGGCCATCAGCCTGTTAATCCTTATCTGATTAATTAATCCTTGCCTCTCCTTCGAGTAACCCACGCAGTGGTCTGAGCCGGTCTCAGACCCCGATATTTTTATATCTCAATGTTGTCGTTGTTAAATACTGTCGAGTTGGTTTCAACTCATAGACACCCTGTATAGGGTTTCCAAGGAGTGGCTGTTTGGTTTGAACTTTCAACCTTGTGGTTAGCAGTCCAAAACTTATCCAGTATCACAGTAGGACTGATTTAAAATGTTAACTTCTTTTATTGCTGAAACTCTTTAGTTTGACAATATAGTCATCTCAACATGTTGTTGTTGTTATGTGCTGTGGAGTCGGTTCCGACTCATAGCGACCCTGTACAGGGTTTCCGAGGCTGTAAATCTTTATGGGAGCAGAAAGCCTCCTCTTTCTCCCACGGAACAGCTGGTAGTTTCGTCATCTCAACACATGCCTGGCTTATTCTAGTGAATGCGCTTTCCATGTTATCATTCAGATTTACTCAAAGAACATTTCCCAAGCAAAAGATGAAAGAAGAAATTTAATTATTTTAAAATATCAAATCTATCCTGGTTTTTACCCTTTGGATATTATTGTTTGTTCTGTGAAATTGAAAGTAAGTACAAGGCATTTTAATTTTCCAGAGATTGTTACTGTTACTGTTAAGTGCCGGAGTTCATTCTGACTCACAGAGACCCTGTATAGGGTTTTCAAGTAGCAGCTGGTGGAGCTGAATTGCTGATCAGTACAGATCCTACAGCATCACACCAAGAGTCCAGAAATTGGAGGAATGGAAATAGAAATGTAAAAATTTTTAGACTTATTCCCCACTTAATTTGCATACAGATATATGTGTGTCATAAGGCAATCATATATGTACATCCCTTCTCCAGTTCACACAGTGCTAACAAATGACAGGGAGGAAGCTGAATCATATAATGCTCGTTTTATCTACGTATGGAAAATAGTATTTAAAATGGAAAGAAGGGAAAATACAGATGAGAATGAACTGGAACTGGATTATGATCTTAGGAAATGCATTTCACTTCCGGTTCTGGGGCTGGCAGAAACAGAATCAGGTAGGTTCGGTTCCATGGGGGAGGGACTAAAAACCCAGAGAACCTGCTTTCATGGAACAGCACCAAAGCTCTGGATCTAGCATAAGGTGTAGGGTGTCAGGTTCCTGCATATGTCAGTGGAAAAAAAAAAATCACAGTATAAAGGAAAATACTATGATTTAGGAATTGCTCAAGACACAGGACTCCCTCTGTGGCCACCCCGACCAGGTGGAGCTCAGAGGGCAGGGCTACAGCCAGACCCGCACAGTGAACAAGCGTTAAAAGTGAAGCAGTGACCCTAGGAAACATCAAGGCAAGTGACCAGGTTCTCTCAACGCAAACCCCTTCCAAGACTAAGACTCAATGGAAATGCACGCTCTGATTGGTGACCACACACATCACCGATGGGGGGAAATGGGGTAAAAGCAGCAATGAAGCGGCAGGCTAAGCCCTACAATGTTCAGTGGACTTCTGTGGACCCAGTTGGGGACCTGGTTGGAAAGCAGTGTGAGG